GGGGGAGCCGCCCCGCGGGAGCCGCCCTTTGTGGGCGTGTCCGCGGGGTCCGGACCCCCCACCCGAGGGCCGTATGCCGCAGCCCGCCAGCGCCCGCGAGGGCGATCTGACGGGATCACCTGCGTGCGGACCGGTTCTGAGGGGCTACAGTGGGGGCAATTGGATGGTCGTCGTCGCTCCCCCGGTACGCCGGGGGCGGTCGGCGCGGCCGGGCGCTCGTTCGCCCCTTCTGGATTCACCTACATACACTCCGCCCCTTCGGGGGCTCGTGGGCCCGGCGCGGTCGCCCCGTTTTCGCGGGGCCGGCGGCGCGGGCGCCCATCAGGTATTAGGTATCTGGTTGATTCTGCCAGTAGTCATATGCTTGTCTCAAAGATTAAGCCATGCATGTCTAAGTATAAGCAATTTATACGGTGAAACTGCGAATGGCTCATTAAATCAGTTATCGTTTATTTGATAGTACCTTACTACATGGATACCTGTGGTAATTCTAGAGCTAATACATGCTAAAAACCTCGACTTCGGAAGGGGTGTATTTATTAGATAAAAAACCAATGCCCTTCGGGGCTCCTTGGTGAATCATAATAACTTAACGAATCGCATGGCCTTGCGCCGGCGATGGTTCATTCAAATTTCTGCCCTATCAACTTTCGATGGTAGGATAGTGGCCTACCATGGTGGCAACGGGTAACGGGGAATTAGGGTTCGATTCCGGAGAGGGAGCCTGAGAAACGGCTACCACATCCAAGGAAGGCAGCAGGCGCGCAAATTACCCAATCCCGACACGGGGAGGTAGTGACAATAAATACTGATACGGGGCTCTTTTGGGTCTCGTAATTGGAATGAGTACAATCTAAATCCCTTAACGAGGAACAATTGGAGGGCAAGTCTGGTGCCAGCAGCCGCGGTAATTCCAGCTCCAATAGCGTATATTAAAGTTGTTGCAGTTAAAAAGCTCGTAGTTGAACCTTGGGTCTGGCTGGCCGGTCCGCCTCACCGCGAGTACTGGTCCGGCTGGACCTTTCCTTCTGGGGAACCTCATGGCCTTCACTGGCTGTGGGGG